CCTTGCAAAACCGAGAGGCAATCGATATTGTTATATCGACAATTAATCCGTTTGGGATGTGCGTAAAACCAACCGCAGCTGAATCAAACGACATCGAATTTGCCCGAGTACGTCATAAATCGAAGGACGATACAAACGTGACGGCGGGAAAAAGAAAACCGAGGGAGCATCAGTGACGTCAGTGCATCGGTAGTAGAAGAGTCGTGTCGACGTCGACGTCGACTTTACGTACGGTGGCTTCGGCCACATGACAACGCAGATGATAAATCTTAGCTGATCCAAAACTTTCGGCACTGAGGCAAGAGAGAACGAGACATGGCGAGCGAAATGGCCGCGGCATTCTCTGCCGCCGGCACCAGACGACGACTGGCTGTCGAGTCTAATCGACACTCGTGATCGCCGATACGAAACGAAACCGGCAAGAGCAGAAGGGTCGTAAAGGGCCGGGTTATAAGTATCACAGCTTTCCTAAGCGGAAACAATCGCCTCGCCTGTGTCACAACTTTCAAAGCCGATCGCGAGTTCGAAGCCTTTCTGATATTTAATTTTGTTTATTATATTTATCACCGAAAGTTGTAAAAAATCATTGATCAGGCGAATTTGAGTAAGGGATACTTAAGGCTGCTATTATCTGCGGTCAGAAAATGTCTGTGATCTCGGGTAAACCCCGCATTTTGAACTATTTAGTCAATGACAACCAATTTACGAACCAATTTACCAATTTACTCAGTCCGCAAGCGGTCATTAGATCACGTCTCTTTGAATGCCTTGAAGCGTGGACATCCACCAACATCGCCGTATCTTACGCAAACCCCACCATTATCGCTACACTAACATATCACACTGTTCGAATTTTACCACAGCAGTTTATCGGCAAACTATCCGTTTGTCGACTAATTGCGGCTATGCTCGTTGCAGCGACTTCTTTGCTCAAGAGAAACTGCCACAAATCAACAAAATTTTTTTTTGATCTTGAACTTGAATCATAACTCTTCAACCAGCAAGGTCAGTGTACGCAATATTAATCGTGCCACTGTTTCAGTGCCAATTATTAATCATTTTTTCTAGCTCGGATTCGAACTTTAGAACTTGGATATCATTCGGCCAAACGCGGCCTGTCTTGACTGATCAACATGAGCAATGAAAAAAACTGACGCTGCTCGATGTATTTCTGTTTCGATCAGTCAAAAATTAGCTGCAAATGCCTGCGTCATCAAGATGTGAACCACGACCTCTGGCGGAGTTATTATAAGCACAAATAAGCGGCTAACGATGATCTGCTCATGTAATGTCTATCGTTATCACAAACTTTGCGTAAGTCGGCATTTAAACGAAATGCCATTTGTTACACCTAATCATTCATTACCGTCAAGTGACGTCAAGACAAAAGCACTAGGAGTTACTTTTTCTTATCTCAGAACCGCATGACTGACATCAGTCTCCCTCGTCGCTTATTAGCCGTGCTTATCTATTGCATCGATATTGTCATCGGTTGGTGTTGAGATATAATATTGGAAATTAATTATAGGAATGTTGATAAGGCGTGCACTGATACGATTGGGCGAGGACACGATTCTTGATGTTTATCATAATCATTTGGTTGCTGAAAAGTACCAAATAATGACCATCGACAAGTGAACGTCTCGGAAACATGAGCGATCCTTACCCCGGCATCACTGGAGGCTCCGATTAAGATCCTGCAGTGGCGAACAATCGTCGCTGGCGGCAGCAACTATTACGATGGCAATGAGAAACACAAACGACGTAGCCAAAACCTACGAACGTCTGGAGACTCACAGGTCAGAGCATTCGATATTTCAGCGAGTCTTCGTCGCTGTTTTCGGCACCCTATTGGCCGCTTTATTGACGCTGCGATTTTGGCTGGCTACAAAGCAGTCTCCGCGACGCGTCACGAGAGAAGATAGTCGTATTCCATCATCTGGCGGCAAACAGTCCGCGGGTTCAGGTGCTAGCCGCAGCGATCACTGCCGTTGCAAGACATGCTCTGGAGGTAGATCGGCGCGCCTAATGATTAGAGGCAGTGAAGGCAAGTTCACACCTCAGTGTCGTCGTCGTATCACCAGTGGCAGCCTTAGCGGCAAATCGTCGGCGACTTTCGCAACCGCTCACCTCCCGGAGTGCTACGGCACAAGCAGCGGCCCGGCCTGCATAACAGCTTATACCAGCACTAGCAATTCCGGTGTCGCACCTGTCGCAGCGACGCAAACATCTGCGAGAAGTCGCCTCAGCAGTCGACGAGGTTCTTCGTCGTCGCAGTCTCATCCGTCGTTGACAGCGCAGCGACAGAGACGCGGCGACGACCAGCGTAAGGCGAAAGACGAGGGCATGGCTCAGCGTTCGAATCTACCACAGGGCGTGAACTACATGGAGTACGACGAGTGGATAAACAGCGGTCTAATCGTTTTGTTAGACACGATAGACGAAGAAGACACGGATGATCTGAACAGCAGCAGCGACATACCTTCGATTGACGGCGATGGCGATGGCGATGGCGACGGCGACGGCGAAGACGAGCCGGAAGGAAGCGGAGTTGTGAGTGGAGCAGAGGACGATGAAGGCGAGGAGGCAGACGACTCCGATGCGCAGACAGTCGTCTCACGAGATGCCAGTCCTACGACGAACACGACGAAGACAACGAAGACGACTGCCGACTATTCCGAGTGCGGGAAACCATGTGGATCTGGTGACCGTTTTCAACTGCCAGGTAAGCCGTATGTCTTTTGCGCATATATCACTTCTCTGCCCTTCCGCATCGTTGTACGACACAACGAGTTACGTGGTACCACCTACCTCATCTCTAGCAACTCAGACGATCAATTAACACTGCTGAGGTATGATTTTCGGTCGCTTTCGCCTTGAGCAAAGAAGTTGACGTCGTCGAGCCGTGGCGGCAAGGAAACCACAATTTCAGCCGATCCCGTTGCGCCGGTCTTTCGCTAGGCTAATCCGGACCTAAGGACCGAGTTTGTGACACACTGACGGCGCCATGTTCCGTATTTCGCTGCTTAAGCGTCACCATAGCATGAAGCGATTCCGCGACGACATGGCGATCTCCGGCGTTACGATCGGCCTGCTTGCGGCATGTCTAGTCGCATTTTGTAAATCCGCACGAATTGAGGGCTATACGACGTCGATTCGATTCTGCGTTTCCACTGCTTCTGCAGTTTTTGTCGATCAGCGTTGTTTCTGCGGTCGTTAAGGAAGATGAATCGAAAATCTATTCGGCGTTTTAGCCTCATGATCAGCACTATTTTGGATGGACTGTGCCGGCCACAGTTGCTGCCAACGTCATCACTGTGCCTCTCCTTGCGAAACAGCTGTTCATGACCCAACTAATGCTGTTTTCTATAGCCTTTCTTAGCGCAACTTCAAAACGGTCGACGTGAAGCCACGTCGTCTTCTCTGTTAATAGGGCGATATCACGGCCAGATGCATTACTTGGCGTTACTGTTTGCGAGATTTCAATCTCGAGTCGCATTCGTAGTACTCAATCCGGTCCGTTTCCTGATTTTATCGGTCCACTGTCTATCGACCTTAATTTTTTCCTCACGCTTGAAAGGCTGCTTGATTTCGCATAATGATGATTCGCTCCTCATCTAAAGCGACCCTCTGTCGAGCGGTATGCAGGTGACACATCGCCGTGCTTCATTCGGGTGCGTCTGCTATTCTGTCTGAGTTCTCAAATTCTTTCCTAGGCCGTTTAGCCTTAAAAGTAAAGGGATGTGTGTGACATACATGATACTTCTAGTTATCACTGTTTCGTGAACTGTTCATCTCGGGGATGATGGCAGGCATTTCGCCATCCTAACTGCGAAAATGAACAGCATACCCCGAATCGCTTGGATTCGCTGGTGCAAACGAAAGCGTTGCATTTTTCTCCAGTTGTGCTGATCATCAGATTTCTGACTGACGAATATCATGATTACCTCCTGCAACGAAATAAGCTCCACACGAGCAGTTATCTCACTGCTTTCATCAGCTTCGCCCCCTGTCTGGCGCCGCATAGAATGCAGTTGTCTCTAGCTTG